GACTTTTTTCTTATTTTGAACTTTGTTCCCCATTTTTCTCCCACTCTATCCAGGACCTCCTACCGCATTCCCTTTCCGAATTGACCCCAGGGGTAGCCACCTACCTCTTCTCGTGCTGATGCTGGGGAGCTGCGGCTTGCGTGGTCCATTCATCTCTCAGACTGCTGATTCCCAGGCAGCCTTGGGTCCCCCCGGGGCTTTGGATTATTGTCACTCTCCTTGGCTTCGGACTGGGAGAGGCCAAGAATTGCACCTTAGATGGCCGGCTGCTCACAACCATTTGAGGTCCCCGTCACTACTTAGCAAAGTAGGATACAGAACATCGTCTTTGTGGGCGTGGGATGCTCCTTGATCTTGTGGGTGACCCCCAGATTCTGGTCCTAAGACTCCAGGCCCAGTCATTCAGGGAATACTCTTGATTTTTCATTTCTGCCTTGTCATGTGGACCCTGGCTGCTAATTTACAAGTAGAAGCGGATGACAATGGGGAAGAGTATTGGTCATTCAGATGATAGAGTGTGAACCTCAAAACCCAGCCTTGGCTTTGCCATCAACAGATACCCTGGAAAGATGTCATTTGCCAAGCTTCCTCACACACACACACACACACACACACACACACACACACAGAGTTGTTATTGAGATTATTCTATCTCTTGTTGGTACCATGCATGTCAGAGTAGAACTGTGTTCCATGAGGCTTTCAGTGGCTGCTTTTATTGGAAAGCTATCGGCAGACCTTTCCTCCACCACACTTCTGAATGGCCTCAACACCTCCAGCCTCTGGCTGGCAGCAGGGCTTGTTAGCCATTTGCATCACCCAGGGACCCCCTCTGGTACCACAGGGCACAGTTAATGTGGGCCAGGCCTCTAGGTCTCCTGACATGGTAGATGTTGACTGGTCTACATTTGGAAGGCTTAGGCTCAGCCAAGCCAGGCGGTAGCCCAGGGGCCTGGTAAATGACAGGGTCTGTGTCCTATCAGCAGAAAAGCTCTGGCGCAGGAGATGTTTATCACCCGCTGTGAGTAGGAGTTTGGCCCATACCCAACACTTCAGAAATAATGTCAACACACCAAGACCACAACCAGCAGCGAGTTTTCTCAGATAAGATTACCACTTTGTCCTTAAAGGGGCTCCAAGCAAGTCAGTCAATGGCCAAGTAGTTCTCTGAGCGGAACCACCCCGGGATCTTTGAGGACTTCGTGCGCGCGCGCCTTCATAGGCAAACGCTCTGCTCTTGTTTTCCAAAGCATAGTCCAAGCTCCATAACATCGAAGAAAGTCCCCACAAGGCCAGTGTTAAGACTTTTTCTTTCTCCAGTCTGAGACTGTTGTTACTACCCCATGGGGTTTTCTTGGTTGGAATCCGTACGGGTAGGAGTCCTGGTGGTAGAGTGGGTATAAGGTCAGCAGTTTGAAACCACCTGCCTCTCGGCAGGAGAAAGACGAGGCTTTCTACTCACGTAAAGAGTTAGTCTTGGAAACCCACAAGGTCAGTGCTACCCTGTCCTATAGGGTCAGTCGGAATGGGCCCGATGGCAGTGAGTTTGGTTTGGGGGAATCCTTACAGAAGCAGATCTCCGGGCATTTTTCCCTCAGAATCACGAGATCGGTTCAAACTGCCGACCTTACAGTCAGCCGGTGAGTGCTTAGCCCTGTGCCACCAGGGCTTCCTGAAAAACCCACTGCCCTTGAGTTGATTGTGACCAATAGGGACCCAATACAGGATTTCCAAGGCTGTCAACCTTTATAGGAACGCAGACCTCATCTTCGTTCCAGGGGAGGCTGGTAGGTAGGTTTGAACTGGTGACCTTACCGTCAACAGCCTAGTATATACCCTACTGCACCACCGGGGCTGTGAAAACGCCACTGTGATCGTTCAGTACCTATGCATCTATTTGGCGTCGATCATAGCTCGCCAATCAGCTTTGGCACACTGCCGGGAGGGGCGGAGGGGAGGCGGGAAGAAAGCTGATCAGATATTCGTACAAAAGCCACGTGTGTGATGGGGAGAGGAAGCATGCAGAGACAGCTCCCCTTTGCTTTGCCATCCAGACACTAGGACATGCCACTCCTCACTGTGAAATGTCCCCCTGCGGCAGAGCCCTGGCGTGGTGGCCTTGGGGTTCTAATCCCATTCTCCCGCGGCCGTGCTGGATACAGTTGCCAGATTAAAAGTTTAAAGCTCTTTTTTCACCCTGTCGTGCCCCAGTAGCATCGCCGAGTCTCCGGCTTATGATTCGGTGTCTTCACTCACCTTTCCACCCTGCTGCTCCAAGTTCACCTTGCTTTCATCGGACAGACCCTCTGAAGGGCCGCCCTAACGTAATTTTCCATTTGCTCCTCTCTGCCTTTCTTCCTGACATTTCTGCCTTTGGAAATATCTTCCTCCTCCAATATGTCTCTTCCCTGTAGCCCGTAGCTTCCCAAACGTACTTGTCCTACCACTGCCTTTTCTGGGAAAAAAAATTACTCAACACCCCCCTAATAATGAAAACCTTTTGGACTCGAGCCCACAATTCAGGGCCAGGTGTTGGTGTCTGGTTTTGCAGCCCCCCGGATTAGTCCAGCACCCCTGGGGGTGGTATCGCCCACTTTGGGCAACACGGCTCTACCCTTTGCAGACTAATCCCACCTACCTGGTTCTGACCCTCTCCTGAATGCTGATGCCAGCCCAACCCATGCACTTACTTTTATTTTACTGGCTCCTTCTAGCTCTTTGGCTCCTTTTCTGTGTGTGTGTGTGTGTGTGTGTGTCTGTCTACATAGAAGTCTTTGAAAAGAAAACCTGTGGTTTTTATATCTTTAGAGGACACTCGATGGTATTTGTGTTGCTTGGTAAGTCTCTCTTACAGCCCTGATTTCTGTGCCACTGACGCAGTCTGTGCTGCTCGGCTACTTTTGGACAGTCTTGGGAGCTTACCTTTCTCAGCACTGGTCGAACCACGAACAATGTCCCTGAGCACCAAACAAGAGTTAGGAAGCGATCTGAAGCCTATTTCAGGGCTTTCTTTTGAATAACTCGAGTTAGTCTGTGAAACTCAAATAGGTGGATGGCAGCACGGATCTCCTTCGGGCTCAATGGCTAGTAGGTCGAGGATTTGGGCACCCTGGTGATGCAGTGGTGAAGCACACGGGTACCAACCCAAAGCCTGCAAGTTTGACCCAACACGGCTGCTCTGTGGGCCGAAGGCCTGTGATCTGCGCCTGTAAAGATTTCAGCCAGGTCAGACAGGTGGGGCCTCTGAGACCAAGCCCTTGTCACCTTTTAGCTCTGGAAGGGAACTCACCCCTGCGCTAGAATAATCAGCCCTTCAAGATCAAAAGGGCAGGGTTTACCCCAGGACAGAGGTCAGAGGGTTAGGAAAGGAGAAATGGAACCCAGAAACACAGGGATGTAGTGGGGCATGCGATGGTCCAGGGAAGGATCGCAGTGGATGTGTTGAAACAACATGCGTATGAATTGCTGATTGTGAAACTGATGCCTAGTTCTCACCATAAAGGTTACAATAATAATGAGATAAAAGTACCCTCCCACATCCAAATATGTGTATATGTATAGTTTATATAATTACCAAGCAAACCCCCTGGGGCAGTCTTCTCATGCCACATGGGCTTCCTCTGAGTCAGAATTGGCTTGAAGGCAGGCAACATGGATGGAAGGGCACACCAGGTTTGGGCTTCCTGCATGCGCACATATGCCTCATGCCTCTCCTAGTCCTTCTGCCCCACCCCATGGTGACTCTCCCTGGACTTAACCCTCTGCCCTAGCCCTACATTCAGAGTGAACCGGAGAACCAGGCTGGGCACAAACCTGGGGCATGCCAGTATGCCTGGAAAGTGTAGACCTGAAGTCTGGCTACCTGGGGTTCAAATCTTGCTTCTTCCCCTCTTAGCCAAAATGTCTTTAGAAGTTGACTTGTTGTCTAAGTCTGCCATTCTCCTGTCCGGTGAGACTAATCCTAGAACCTGCTTCTGAGTGGCATAAAGAAGAGTGTAGACGCAGAGACAAACAAGCACATGCAGGGGAGAGACAGCTGCCCTGTGGAGAAGACCAAGGCCCCTGGGCATGATGGGATTCAAGAAGCTGAGACAAAGATAGAGAGAGCCCTCCCTAGAGCCAGTGTGCAGAACGCAGGCCTTTAGTCTTCCAAGCATCTCTGGCAGCACAATGGTGAAAGCACTAGGCCACTAACCAAAAGGTTGGTGGTTCAAAGCCACCAGGGGCTTCCTGGCTTCATCAAGATCATGGTGATGCGCCTTCATAAAGATTTCAACCTTTGAAACGCTGGGCAGCATTTTGCTGTGTCCCAGAGGGTCACCGTGAATCAGAGTCCGTTCCCTGGCACACGCTGATGGCAGCCCTCTGAACAGTGAGACGAGATGCCTGCTCTTGAAAGCCACCTATTCCTGTTACAGCATCAGTAGTCACCTGTGGCCTTTATGGGTATGTCGCCTTCTGGAATCTTCCGTGACCACCTTGTTTAATTCGCACCCCCCAACGCAAACCCAGCATCCCCTGTCCTCTGTCCTCTTCTGTTTTTTCACGACAGTACTTGAGCATCTGTTGTGCTGGGTCGTTCCTTGGTCTGTTGTTGGTATAGTCTGGCTATAGCTCCATCATACTATAAACTATAAACTCATGAAGGTTGGGGGTCTTTGCCTTCTGTTTATTTGTGTATCCACGGCGCCTGCAACAATGCCTTTAAAAAAGGGAAACCAACCTCACGGCCATGAGTTGATTCCGACTCACATGGACCCTCTAGCACCGGGTCGGACTGCCCCGGTAGGTTTCCAAGACTCTAAGCAGACAGTTCCTAAGCAAACACAGAGTGAGTAAGGGCCATTCCTGCTATTGTAGAGAGGGCTTCCAGCCTCAGGTGTGCGGTGGCCTTCACATTCTACCTTGCGTCCTTGCTTCCGGGCATGGACCTGTCCTACTCTCCGGTCGACAGACTGCCTCCATGATCCCTGACCTGGCTCTCTGTTCTCTTTCCTCAGATGCGTACTCTCATTCCTCCAGTGAAAACGGGGGCAAATCTGAGTCGGTGGCCAACCTGCAGGCCCAGTCCTCCCTGAACTCCGTCCACAGTTCCCCGGGGCCCAGGAGGTCCACCAACACGCTCAAGAAGTGGCTGACCAGTCCGGTGCGCCGGCTCAACAGCGGGAAGGCAGATGGGAATATCAAAAAGCAGAAGAAAGTACGAGACGGTCGGAAGAGCTTTGACCTGGGATCTCCCAAGCCTGGGGATGAGACGACCCCGCAGGGAGACAGTGCGGATGAGGTACTTACACCAGGGCACTGGCCCTTGGACAGGCATCCTTCCTGCAGCCTTGGGAAATGCCTTCTTTGTGGGTTTTGAAAACTAGCCAGTCTCTAGTTTCAAGAACGTGCTTCTTGAGCCCAAGGAGTTCGAGTTTTTCGTAGTCTCAAACTCCCGGTCCTTTGGACCAGTTCAGAGACTGAGAAGCACTGAGGATAGCAGCCGTGTTTTGCCTTATCGGGATGGTCCACAGACTGAGGGCATTACTTATCAGGTGTCACGGCCTCCACCCGGGGCTACGGCATCCCCTGCTAGACATCTTAGAACGAGGATAAAAGACCAGACACCATTTCAGGTAACTGAAGTACCGTCATGTATAAAAGTGAGAAGACAATTCCAGGCTGCACCACAGGTTAAAATTATGATTCACAGATGAGGTGATGGTAGACAAGGTTTTTGCTCAAGAGAAACGTTCCTGGTGGAGACACTTGGTGATGAGGTGGGGCTTCTTGTGAACGAGTGGGCACCCGGCTGGAAGAGTGTGCGAGCTGTGCAAGCACATAGAAGTCCCTTCCCAAGTTGAGGTTCTGTGATCGCAATATAGTGGGGGTTTTTGGCCGAAGGGAATGCGGTAGCTGTTTTATCTGGCAAACAAATCTACAATAATCGCTGATGTGGCGAAGAAATGCTTTCTGATGTGTAACCACACTCCCTGTAGTTGTAGTGTTATGCTATCTGCCATTTTCCCTCTGGAGGTGGCACCCTTAAAAAAACCTGCGTGTGTGTGTGTGTGTGTGTGTGTGTGTGTGTGTGTGTTAGTCTTCATTGCCCTTTGAGATAAGAAGGTGTATGCACTGTATGAACAAAGAAACCGAAACGAAATGTTTAGGGTCTGTTTAGACAGGAGGAAATCATATTCATTTCTCCTCCTCTCTCAACGCACCCTACCCTTTGTCCCTTCCGTTTCTCTGTCCTAACTTCAGCTCCAGACCCCTTGATGGCTTCAGCTATGCAAAACAGTAACTAATAGCGCTCTTTTGTTCTAGAAGAGCAAGAAAGGTTGGGGAGAAGATGAACCAGATGAAGAATCACACACACCCCTCCCTCCGCCTATGAAGATCTTCGACAATGACCCTGCCCAGGATGAGATGGTGGGATTTCTGTGCTTCCTCGCTTGAGACGGCCGTGTGCAGGCCTGTGACTTTAGTTGTGTGTGTGCTCTGGGAGGTGTCTCCTCTCTCCCTTGTTAGCTCTTGCCCCATGTGAGTCCACATGATAGAGAGTTTATCTGCATTTGGTAATGAACATGGTGCCCCCTCTCCTACATCCTGAGGGGGGTGGGGGGTGTCAGACTTCATTCTGGGCAGGATCGGGGGGGTGTGGAATTCTCAGAGTGGGGATTTGGGATCGTGCCCCATTGGTGAAGCACAGGTTCTGCCTGGCGAGGAGCAGAGCCCAAAAGGAACCCCTGTTGTCCGTCACTGTCGACTTGGTTCCACCTCATAGCCGCCCGCTGTGCCGCAGCACCAGCCCTGCCTGGGTCTGCGCCGCCCTCGCACTGGCAGCCCTGCTCAGAGCCCTTCCTTGCAGCCACGAGGTCCGTCTGTTTCTTGGAGGTTCTCTTTCTCTCTCCACTGACCTTCGACTTTACCGAGTTAATCTCCCTCCGCCTCTGAGCTTCCCTCCTGAAGATGTGCCCAGAGTAGGTGCGATGGCGCCTCACCTTCCTTGTCTCTGAGAAGCCTTCTGGCTGGACTTCTGGCAGGCAGTTTGTTTATTCTTTTGGTAGTCCGTGGAATATTCACGATTCTTCGCCCCCGTAGTACAAAGGCCTCCGTGTGCCTCTGGTTCCCCTGATCCATTGGACAGCTTCCACATACACATGAGGTGATGGAAGATACCATCACGTGGATCAGGCACACCTGAGACCTCAAAATACCTTTTTTAACACTTTCTAGAGGTTTTAAAGGGGGGTTGCGACAGATTTTCCCAATGCGACACTTCGTTTGATTTCTTAATTACTGCTTCCGCTGTTGTTGATTGTAGCTCCAAATAACAACGATTTCCCTGACAATGTCAATCTTTTCCTGTTTACCTGACACCTGGAAAAGAAATGTGAGGTTGTCCCAGGTCGTCACCATGTTGTTGGACTTGCCTGGACCACCTATGTTATCCTTTTCTCTAACCTCACCTCTAAAATCTGCATAACGGACACTTCCATCCAAGCCCAGTCCTCTTATCATTCTACGCTCCGAGCCTTAGACAGAAGGCGGACGGAGACACTGCTGAGGAAAGGTTGTAGTCACAGGTGGACACACCGAATACCACCACCTCTTTCTTAACTAGTCCCCGACGGGCTGGCATGTCAGAGGCTCCCTGAGATCTGAAACGTTGGCGTGGAACATGCCTCTCAGTGCCCGGTGGTCATCTCCCGTGTTTTGGAGCTAGGAGCTCAGGTCGAGTGCGCTTCCAGATACTGACGCAAAACTTGAAGCTAGAATCATCTGTGTCGCCATCACCCACTGGCCTTACGAGCCTTGCTTTCACACCGTTGTTTTTCTTGCCTTCGTTTAGTGTTGCCGGTCCTCTTGGACGCTAGTGCTTGAGGTGGTGATTCCAGGGGCCTTTTACTCTGCATCCCATGTGCCCTTTGGCAAGGCTTTTTGCCGTGGCGGTGCCGGCCGTGGTTTGCTCAGTCATCCCGGGAGTGGTCTTGTCTTCTGTAGTCTCTACCTGGCTGGAGGCAGCCTCCTCCAAAGAAGTTTCCCCAAGATTTGTTGGCAGGAAGGACACCTTCCGAAGTGCTTGGTAGCCTAGAATTCCTAACGTATTTTGTGCAGGGACGTAGGAAGTGTCTGGTGGCATCCCGACTGGTAGTTAGCCTCTCTTCCTTCACATTGAGATCATCAGTCCCCAGACACTAGTTGAGATCTCTCTCTGTGCTTGGCTAGAGGGACAGAGTCTAGGGACAGGCCAGTGACGGAGATGTGGCCCCTGCTCTCCCTCTCACGTAATGCTCATGGCAGAGGGCCCTCCTGGGCTGATGGAGGGGATCTCGCTCTCCAACTCTGGGCTGTTGGGAAGGAAAGTAAAAGGAGGTTTGGCATCATGCCCACCCTGGGTTCCCAGAGGCAGGAGTGCCTGTGCTTCACCTTGAGGTGGGAAGGAGACCCGGAATGCGTTCGTTCCCAGAAGCCTAGCCTTGTAAAATGTTCCATAAACAGTGATAGCGTGTGCAGGGCTCTGGGCACTCCTGTCACAGTATCTGCCATCCCACACAGCCCTCCACCCAGAGGTGCCCGCTGGCTGAGATAAGGCAAGGTCACGAACTTGGGGGAAAGGGCTGTGGTGTTGTTTCTGGATAATTTTTAACTGAGAATACAGACTGACCCCAAACATTTTAGACGTCTTCTAAACGAGGCATGGGGCAGATGGCGACAGCCCCCTACAGACCCTCATGCCCTCTGTGCTTGTGCCCCACATGTATCTTTTTGGAGTATTTGAGAGTGGGGTGACCCTTGGAATGTCAAGCAGAGAGAGCTGAATTTTTTTAAGCAATAGCTTATGAGGAGTTTCTAAAACTGCCCCCACTGCCCCGCTGACTGTGGGATGATTACACCAATTCTCCGTGTGTTCTTCTAAGCTCTGTTCCTATGCACGTGGGCTTTACCTTTATAATTATAATATGCATGCGTGATGTTGATGTCGCGCCCCAAAACGTAGCTTTAGTAACTACCGTTGAAGGCAATTTTGTTGATCTGATGACCATGACCCGCTTGACCGGGCCTCGCTGGAGAACTTCTTCATGTGGGGTTTGTTTTCTTTTCATTCCAGTTTGCTGCTACTCTAGGTAACCCTGCTGCTAACCACTCGGTTGATATAGCATTTTTTTCTTTTGACTTCTGCCTTGGAAATCATTTCCCAGGAGGTCAAAGACATAATAACCTGGATTTCCAAACATACTTCAGCCCTTTCCCGGTACCCCGCCCACCAGCCCCGGTCACTGATATTTTCCTTCACCTCAGAAGGAAAGACCTAAGTGACTCTGAGATCAGACAGCAAGAAGCTTCTTTGTTGAAGCTCCTCCCTCTCACCTAAGAGATAAACTTCAAGTCCCAGCAAGGTGAAGGACATTCAACTCTGCTCCTACAGAGACGGAGGGGCATGTGTCCTGGCCGCTGGGCCACCATGGTCCTGCTCCGGGGTGACAGTGCGTGCAGGCGTGCACACACACGGGGTTGGCCATTCATCGCCGGGTCTTTCCTCACATAGCAGGAGGGCAACTACAGAGATGGGGACAGATGGCACAGCCCCCAGTGGGCAGGAGTCTCCACACCCCTGGCACTGTGCACTGGGAGGCAGAGCAGAGTCAGGCCCATCCCAGAAGCCTCCCTTCGCTGTGAACAGGAAGGTTCGCCCCTGGTCACTCCCGGGAGAGCTAGCCCTGATCATGCCCTCTATGACTTCCTGGTGTGCCCAGTGTACTTCCTGGTGTGCCCAGTGTATGGGGGTGGGGGGGGGCTGGTTTTCAGTGGCTGATTTGACTTTACAGAAGCAGGTTTATTTTATGAAGGGGTGTGCCAGGGGTGGGTGTTTGTGCCTATGTTTGGGAGTGTGAATGGGGAGGGCGGCGGGGCACAGCTGGTTGGTCTCTTGGGCTCTGAGTGCCCTCCAGCTGGCATGCTTGCCAGGCACAGCCTGGCGCCCTTCTCCTCTCGGACATGCATGAGACTCGGTTTGTGGCATGTTTTTCATTCCCTGGAAGAGCACTGGAGGCCACAGTTCTGTAGCCCTCACTGGCTGGGCTGTGGGCAACTCAGCACCCCCTCCCCCAGGCTCCCTTAGAGGCCTGACTCAGGAGAACCTGTTGACCCCACCTCACCCCACCCCCAGGCTTTGTTGCTGGCCAGGCTGTCCACAAGCAGGCCCGTCCCACACCTGTCCCATACCTGTCCCACACCTGTCGACTCTTCCCTCTGAACATACAGCTTTGTTCCCCACCCCCACCTCGAGCTTTGAACTTGCTGTTTGCTTCCTAATCGCCGTGCCTCCTTCCTCGCTAACCCTCCTTCCCTCTGCTGCCTGATGTCTTGCAGTCTTCCTCTTTGCTAGCAGCGCGCCAGGCCTCCGCCGAAGTCCCCGCCGCCGCCGACCTTGTCAGTGCAATAGAGCAGTTGGTCAAAAGCAAGCTGGTAAGTGGGGCCCTGGAGGTAGCTCTGTGGGTGTCTCACCTCCTGACGGCTCCCGGGACCCCACGGCTGCCTCGTCCTCCTATGAGCCTGTCCTCTGTTCTTCCCCTGGGACTGCTGGCAGCGAAGAAGGGTTTCTAACAGGCTGAGCCCAGTCCTCCGTGGCGGTGTTTGGGCATGGGCTAGGGAAAGCCAGCAGCCCTCTTTGAGGCTGTGCCATGGACGACGGGTGAAGAGGGTTCCAGACAAACCAGCACTAACTGTGAGCCCGTCCCCGGCCGACAGAGAAGTGGCTTAGTGACTCTGTGTGTGTGTGTGTGTGTGTGTGTGTGTGTGTGTGT